AGAATTACACTTTGCTTTGATTACGTAAACGTAACCACCTTTAAAAATATAGTGGAAGGTAATATTGTAAAAATAGAACGCTAAAGGCTTGTCATTTTGAAAAGTCACATATGAGATGCATTGAGTTTAAAAATAAATTTAAGAAAGTATAAAAGAATATTGGAGGATTTGATATTTTTATTGCAACAGTATACTGTATCACCGAATTTTATTTTATTTTATATGCTTAGCTTTTTTCTACTTCAGTCAAATTCTTTAGTGAATAAAAGAAGGTAGAAGAATATTATTAATTGTTTTTGCTAATTAAAAGTAGCGATGTAAATTTTTAGCCGATGCAATATTTAATTTGAGTGGTTTCGGATTTAGAGGTTATGATTCAAACGGGCAACCTCAATGGGATCTTGTTTCCAACGTCAAACCTTGGAAAGTTGAGGTATCATTTTGATTCTTTTGATTTCAGAACAAAACTCCAGTTATATATTTATTACATTGCTTACAGTAAAATCAAATTTTTGTTGTCTAAAGAACTGAATTTTTTGATGATTTCCAGACAGCATTAAATTTCAAAGAAACGTTGGAAGGATGGAATTGTTGTACGATGTACTGGTTGCGACGTGTTGCATATGATCGCGCTCCAAAAGGGTATGTTTTTTTTTGCAATTTTGAAACTGTTCAAGAAAGCTTTTTCTTAATTGCATATTGTAATCTTTATCATTTTAAAATTTGTTTGCATTTTTCAGATACCGAACTTTATCGACATATTTATTGTCAGCAGTTTGGCATGGCTTCTTTTTGGGTTATTATGTCACTTTCTTGACTGGCGCTTTGTTCACTGTTTCTGCACGAACGGTATTTTGGCATTTTAAGTTTATATTTCAACATCGTCTAACTTTATTATTTAGTACACTATGCACATATTTTCACAAAGCTGATTAAGACTTATAACTGACACTGTTATAGATTATAATGTTGAGCAGCGAAACTAAACCTGAAATAGTCGATAGATTGGAGAAGAAATGTTTACTGGAATTTCATAATCAGACTAATCGAAAATTTTTTAAATTCAGGTACGTCGTTGCTTACGTTGGCGCTTTCAAGGGAACCAGTTTCTGCAACGCTTTTATGACTTGCTTACATTTGTTATCACAAAGATCACTTTATCCTATACAACATATCCGTTTGTGATGTTACATCTTGGACCCGGTCTATACTTTTACAGGTATTTAAGAATTTTGCTATGAAAGATTTTTAGAACAGAGGGTCTTTCTTTTTATTTTTGCTCATTTTATGTTTTGGACACATTTGGTAAGCGTGATTTAGTGCGTTGAGCTTTGTTTTGGAGACTCCAAGACAAACAGCGTTCGCGGTTATTATCCGAACTGATAACTTTACATTATTTGATATACCGATTGATTTCATGAATTGAAGTACATGTATCTGATTTTTAGCAGTACACATTTATATCAAATTAATCGTGAGAAAAAGAATAGAGAGGAATTTTTGAATCTCTAGTCGTTGAGTTGCATCTCAAGTCATTCAGAATCAAAACCAATTGATCTTCGCTCCTCGTCAAGCCAACTGTGTTTTTTCATCACTTTGACGCTAGTGAGGAGAGTACGATGTTATTTTACAGTTATATTTTTAGAATTCAGCTGATTTTTTTATAGGCAAATGTATTTTTGTTTACACTTCATAGCACTTTTTGCTGTATTTCTTTTGCCTCGAATATTGCCTCCAGAATCAAAACCAATTCAAACTGAAAAAATTGGCGATATGAAGAAATCATCGTAATCAGGTCGGTCATATACTCATTATGGGTCTTTCTTCGTCGGTATCATTACTTGATTCAAATTAATGGTATTAAACAGTGATCTTATATTTAAAAATAAAGATGTTTATTTGCACTGGTTTTATTTCTGTTGAAATTCAATTTATGTTGTAGTTCATTATATATTGCAATGGTTTATTCCATTCATAGTTCAATGTGTGATCTTCAAATCCATATTTTTTAAAAGATTTCTTAGCGATATATCACTTTGTTTATCATTTTCAATTGATGAATTGTTTTTATCTAGAAAATTTTTGTTTTAATCAAGCTCTTCCATTACTTTTTTGTATTGATTCTTTTTTTTGTTCCAGATCTCTGTATTCCTAAGTACTTCGTTTAGTCAGCGAAATCTCAAATTCATTTTTTTCAAAAATATGCAATTCTGTTAATCTTTACAGGTTTTAATATGTTTAGATTTATCACGTAGCGTTCGAGTGTATGAGGACCAAACGACTTTGCAGCCAGTTGCAGAAAGAATTGGATAGCACAGATCAATGGATGACCATAGATTTGTACTTGCTTCTTCTAAATTATTAGTAAAAAGTCTGATATAAAAGAAAAATTTGAAAAGAAAAAACGAAATATCATTCAATATGAACATGAACAATTTTTTATATGAGAGATTTTCAGCAACCAAAAGGGCTACAAAGTTCCGTCTTCTCCTTGCACATGTTCTGTTCGTTTTTACAATTCGGTATATAAATTTGTTGCCTAAAGGCCATTTTGCTATTCTATTTCTACAGATTTTATCCTGCTTTATCAAATTGGTTTTATTATTTTTTATTGTTGAAGGTGCGTTGGGATGCTTAAAATATCATTTTTCAAATATAAAATGCATGTTTTGTTGTCGTTGTGATCTTTGAACCGTACATATTTTTGAATTCAAGCATACACATTTGTCCAAAGAGGTTATGGTCAATAAAGATGATGAAAGATTCATTAAGTGCTGATGATGCCGAAAACGAAACATTTTTTTGAAAACAGGGATAAAGCGAGAGATTGATAAGAAGAAGAGAAACAATATCAACGTATTGCCAATGATATTCAGCTTTTAATATTTTGTTCGGAAGATTTTGCCTCAGATGTTTACACTTGTCATTTGAACTGCACGGTGGATTTCATGATTATTTTTTATTAGATTTAGAAAAAGATTTGGTAGTGTTTTAATTTCCTGAGTAACACTGTATCATTTCTGATACAAGCTTTTATAACTATGTGTCTGTCTCTTATGGTTTTAAAATGGACTTATAAGAAAACAGAATTTCTTTTTAAAATAATGAGATAGGATCTGACTTTCGGCCTTGCAGATATCGCCTTCCTGAAAGTTAGAATAGTTGCATTAAGATGATTTGTTTCCTACTAACCGGCGAGGATGATCTCTTAACAGATGGCTGGAAAGTTCCATCACCGAACACTTTATCTTACAGCAATTAGTCTTCCAAAAAAAAAAATCCTAATGATAGCAGGAATCAGGCGAAAATGTGCAAAAGAATTTGCTAGAATATTCAACAAAAAAGATTGACATTTTTATATTTTAAATTTCGTCTCAATCCGTATTAAACAACTATTAACCATTAGTTTTACTCTTATCTAACGTGCCTTATTGAGGCGTATTGATGGGATCTTTTAATCTAAAAGAATTGTTTGATAGTCTTCCATATAGTCTTGCCTTCGAGAGCAGTAGATAATTTCAGTGTTTTTCACGAATTTTATAAACTGAACAAATAATACAGAAATGATTGCAGTGAAATTCAGGTTTTGACATAAAAGGTCATAAAAGCTTCATAAAAAAACTGATATCTTGCAAACTAAGAAATTTAATTAATTAACAAGTGCCATTATATAGCTCTTGACACTTTCATTTTAAATTCGCGAAACATTAATAATCTATTCTTGCAAACAAACCGCCTGAAATTTGATTTACATTTTTGTAATGGACACATTGACTAAATGTCAACTGTCAACCGTTATTCAGAAACAGGTTTGCACGAATTGTGTGTATGTGTTTACGTTTATGAGGAAACGGAAAAATCAAAAGAAAAATAGTTTCCGTTTTCTTCAATAAGTACGTCCATTTATTATAAAAACAAATAAAAGACTTCGAGGTAAATTAAGGACAGGTGGACGAGAGAGTGGAACAACTTCGAATGCTATTGTATTTGTAAATCATCCTAATAGACTGTTTGGAAGTTGAATGAGAAAATTGCTTTGATCAAATGGTGATTATCTGTTTTCTTATTCTTCAGGTAAGTGAGAAAAATGGCTTTGACGATAAATATGGATGACATTTTAGAATTATCAGTATAGAAGCATTATTTAACTCTTAATGATTTCTCAACTCATGAATAACTTACTAGTCATCATTTGGATACATTAATGACCTGAAAAAACTTATCAAAACAATGCAATGTTGATTTTTTAGCACCAATTTCATTTCAGAAAATCTTATAGATGACAGTGCACAACTTTTTTTTAATCCTTCCCTTATTCAAAATAAAATACAATGCGCAGAAGATTTTGAAAAAAATGTTTTTTTATTGCAATGTTATTTGATCGTTTCAGAAGAAATTTTTCGCAACAATTTTAAAGATGTAATGTGAACTATAAAAAGTGTTGATATATCATCAAAGAATGTAACAAGGCGTAAATGATTTTAATTATCAGTACAGTTAGTATAAATATTGAATTGGTTTATCGTCGAGTACCATCCTCGAAGAAGACACCGCCGTCGATGGCGCAATATTTCGGGCATATGCCCTTTTCTCCAGGAGCACCAGGTGGCCCCGGTTCTCCTGGCACTCCAGGTTGACCATCGGCACCTGGCTGTCCTGGTGGGCCGGGTGGTCCTTTCGGTCCCGCCGGTCCCGGTGGTCCATCAGCACCTGGCTGTCCCGGTGGACCTGGTGGTCCAGGTGGTCCCATGTCACCTGAAATGTTTATGTAGTTTTCATATTTACTTGTATATAATAAACCCATAATTTCCTTCACTATGGCTCAACTACTTCTTTTTACTGAATTACCTGGTGGTCCAGGTTCTCCTGGAACGACGCCTTCGTTTGGTGCGTCCTCTCCCGGTGGACCAGGCGGTCCTTGTGGTCCAGGTTCTCCTGGTGGTCCTGGTGGTCCTTTTGGTCCAGCTGGGCCGGGTGCTCCAGCTCCACCCGCTTGACCTGGTGCTCCATCCGGTCCTGCATCCCCAGGTGGCCCTGGTGGTCCAGGTGGTCCTGGCGGGCCGGGTGGACATGGTTGACACGGTGGTGGTGTGACTGGTTCACATGGTTGGCTTGGCGGCCTTCCTGGATTTCCTGGCATTCCTGGTGCACCGGGCCTTTAATAAATGACAATCAAGATAAAATTATAATTAAAGATTGGAAATATAAACTTGATCAAAATCCAAGTTAGCCTATCAAATCGAATAATTTTCAGTTATAAAAGAGTGACCTTTCGGACAAAAAATTGAAATTACCTTCCCGGTTTTCCTGGTCTACCTGGTGCTCCTTTTGGACCTGGTGGACCCGGTAAGCAGCAACTATCGCAACCAGAAGTAACCTGAGTGGCTCCTTCACCAGCATCTACACCGGCATTTGCACCGTACCCTGCTTGCCTAGCAGTACGGTTTCTATTAATCGGCATTTGCTTCAAATGACCCACTTCCATCCAGATATCTTTCGCTGACCCCTGTAAATTAGTGATTATTAGTAAATGCACCAATATTGCTCATCATATCAGGCCAATAAATTTTTTAATAAATCATCACAATTTATTTTTTAGTTTCTTTATTCTCATTTTTTTTGAGTTTCTTTTCCCATTTAATTTTTTATTTTTCCGTTGTTTTTTTTTTTAAAGTCTTTCTCTTTTATCAGCAAATTTGGCTATAATATTTTAATGCAGTCTCAAAAGAGAAATATTTTAACTACCAAACTATATGACCAAAATATGAACTCAATTTTTTTCACTCATTAAAATTGACATTTTTAATGTTCCATTAACGCATGCATGCTAGTATCTTTTTTTATGGATTGCAATATTTCATTGTAAATACTAATTTATTCAAACGGTCCTTCTCTTCCCCTTTTGCGAGAAAGCAATCAGTTATCCAACATTTTCCTATTCATTTCTCTCTCCTCTCCGATCCACTTTCTTTACCTATAAATTCCTTCCTTCATTCATTCATTCATCGATGGCCTATTTAAAGTTGAAAAAGTTGCAATCAGGAAGTGCATCAGATACAGAGCACACAAAAATATTTGTTGTTTCATAAAAATTGTTCAGCACACAACTAATTACCGTAACTGTTACCCAAATCTTCTCCTTTTATACTTTATAAAAATGTGCAAAATTGTTGACAATTTTTGACGTTATATTTCATATTTTTTTTCATTTTTCTAGAAAAAACATCATTTCAATGGAAGTGTCGAATTCTGCATATTTTTTGAAAAAAAAAATATTTCTTTTCATCGGTAACAAAAAAATACATTAATTTTTCAAAATAATTTTTAGAAATTTTTATGCTAAAAATAATTTTTAAGCATAAGTTTTTTCATTAATATTCTCTTGTCATATTCCATGCAATGTAACACCACAAATCAACTTTCTGTTCCTGCATCTCTCATTGCATAAGATATATCTTGCATTATTTCATAAAGTTTTATTGAAATATCAAAAATTTAACTGTTACAAACTGTTTTTCCTTCCGCATTTATTACATGAGTAGAAAAAAAAAGTTATAAAAGTAAAGAAAAAAACTAACAATCAAACAGGTCAAAATTACTAATAATGTATTAAAGCTATCATGAAAATCTCTTTTTGAAGCGAATATTAAAATAACTCACGGATAACAGATATGACAATGATCTCATTATATGTTAGCTGGCTTTTAATTCATTAATATGATAATGATATTTGTTGAATGAATATGTTAGATAGAAATATAGGCTTTATTTTATGTTAGATAAGCTTACCTTGCAGTAATTAATTTCGGATCGCATTTGTTGTCGAACGTGATACACATAATTGTAAACCATTGGTAGCGTTACGCATACTGATAGTACAGCAACTGTAGAAAATGTTACCGCAGCATAGGAGACAAATTTGTAAGCCTTTATACGATTATCAAGATCCATTCTTGTTATCAGCAGAAAGGAGAGCTGATTAGATCAATGCAATCTCAATCAATTTTTGATACTGTCGCTGCTACATGTAATGACACTGACGTTCGTGCAATCTTTTCATCTATTTATAATCTTTTTTTTCATTGGGACACATTGGAAAGAGTCATTCCTGACAGGATCATATAAATAAGGCGGAACAAAGATAAATGGCTGGGCGGAGCTGTATTACAAGTTTATTAGGCCTGAAAAAGAGAAGGACATCTATCTATGTCATTTCGTTTTTTTGTGTGTCCCTTTTATTCCTAAAGAAAAAGTTCATTTTTTAATTTTTTTTCATTTCTCCGTATTTTTTCTCCACTTCTGCTTCTTGCAGGGAGTAAAATATCTTCCAAAATGATGGCATTTTTGCGAATATCATCAACCATACAACATTGACAAGAAAGTAGGAAAAAAAGACGTTTAACATTTGCAAATGTACTTTTACATTTTTATTTTTTTCGTCTTCTATCATTACTAAAATTTTTTTGCACATTCCTCAGCATGTAATTTTGATCAAAAAATTTACGTTACATATTGAATTTTGATTTTTTTATTTAAATTAATACATTTTTTTAATCTAAGAGGCTAAATTGAGAAACTGATACTTTTAATTGCATTTCAGTTCTTTCGATATTATTGTCATTATTGTAATCAACATATTTAAAATTGAATGTAGCAGCATTTGTTCATTGCTAACGCTTTGAATTATTTGCTTGCTTAGATTTATGTTGGAACATCCTATTCAAATTAATTTTCAAACAAATCAAGCACCTTTTTGCAGTAAACTTGAATTTTAAAATATGACCGAAGAAACTATACAGCTATCAAATTATGTGCTTCTGCAAAATCAGTATATGAACCGATATGTCAAAAAAGATGTTTCTTCATGACAGGTAAAAAATAAAACTGTAGCTTTTCTCATCTATTCAGGTATCTATTGTAAAGCAGAATATCCATAAAATTCATTTTGTAAGAAATGATATAAATCACAAAAATATATTCATTTTATCCTTTATGCTTTTCTTATAAATTCAACAAAAATGATAAGAAATGGTTCCATTCAAGAATTATATGGCAACAGCTATCGCCTAATCATTTTCAATATTATTATAACATCTAAAACTTTTTTTGAAAAATCATAGTGCAAAAATTTTGCTTCCGATTTTCAGAACGTCTAATAATAGTAAGAAAAGTAGTAAAATTCAAAAAATAAAGTCTTATGGTTAATGGTGCTTTATTTTGCACATCTATTCGGCTATTTATGTTTAGAATTAAACAATTTCGTCATTTGCATCATTAAACTTTCTATTCTTTCATTTTAAAACAAATTTCGAGATATTTCCAGAAAAAAATTATTCTCTTTTTCTAACCTGCAAACTTTTTCGTGGAAAATTTTTTTTGCCTGTTATCAAAAAAAATTACGACAATTGAAAAGCTTTATTAGTAAGTACGAGTTGGGAACATCTTTTGGTGCATCAATATTTTCGTAAGTTTCCTCCATTTTTTACTATAAAATAGGTTGTGTTTACAAATGTTTGAAATGTCAAATTTAAAAATATTTTATATGCGCAAGTCCACCCATTCATCCACACACATACACACACACACACACACACACAGACAGAGACATATGCATATCCATAATACTGTCTGCAACTTCATAAATAGGACGTAACTGTTGAAAGTTAGAAGATAATATTATTGAATGTTTTGGAAAATTAGTTGAAATCTGATCAACGAAAGAAAACATTTGATAATTTCTCTTCAATTTTTCTGGGAGATATAAATTTAAAAAAAAATGGAACAAATATTCTTCCGTTATTATCAACAGAACAATTGAAAAGATCTTTTTAATTACTGTTATTTATTTTGACGTAAAAGACAATAAAAATTCGCTATCTCCCTTCAGTAAATACTGATTCCTTCCATTAATTTCATTGTAACATTTTTCAAAAGTATCAAATTTCATTTTTTTTCACTCGTATCTATAAAAAGCTATTAAAGTATTGCAATTAAATCTTCATTTGTAGCAAATACTGCAATACCAAATCTTGTATTTCACAGGATAGCAATGATTTTAATAAGAATATATTAAAATGCTTCAACTAAGAAATTTTTCACAGACAATATTAACGTTCGGGAAATTTTGTACCATCACTATAATCAACTGCTATTGCTTTATATTTAAATAGCATTTACAGTATCATCTCATGCAATAACAGTTTACGGAACGTAAAAATTCTCGGTTTTACGAATGTAAGAAGGAAGTGACATTTCATATACATTTATTATTCTTAGTACAATTTATTCTATTTCTAATCAAAATGGGTACTAAAAAAAAAATGAAAAAGTGAACTTGTCATTTCTTGATAGTATTTTCCTACTTCGGGTGGATTGATCTTCGTCATTTTATAATTAATATTAAGGTGGATGATATTCAAAACATCGTTTTCTATTTCATTTCTTAGATCCCGTATTTGAAATGCATTATTGTTATGGAGGAAATCACTTCGTTTACGAGACATCCATTTTCTTTGAAACTTTTTCTATTTTCTAGCTTTTTTTTAAAATGCCCAATATATTGAATAAGAATTTCATTTAACATATTTTCTCTGCTTTTTGACGTAATTTTTCAAAGAAAATAATGGTCTAAATAAAGTTCTTAAATTATTATTATACTAAATTTTGTCCATTCTTCTGAAAATTTCAACGGAGCAGATCATCTCTTTATAAGATCTGCACTCAAACATCAGTTAACAACATCATATTTTTCCGGAACTAATAGTTTCGTTTCTTCTTTTTTTGTACTCAACCATTATTACTTTCCGACTAAAAATGAAATGTCAAAGAACATCCAAATAATTACATGAAAAACAAATCACGAAAGTAATACTTTCCAAGTTTCTGCATTTTGAGAGTTACCTGAATCAAAATCAATTGGAAGATTCAAAAAATTATCAAATCAAAATTCATTATACTTGCAATTGATAATTACTGATGGAAAAGATAAAAAGAAAAAGTGAAACTGGTTTTTTTCTTTTCAACGATAATTTTTCCTTTCCGAAAAAAAAACCAGAATTTTTATAGGACCAAAAAATGGGGACCAAAAAATGGATTATTGATTTCCAGCATATCAGCATGAGTTTAGAGTGAATGGGTAAATAGAAATGTGAATGTGTACCTTTTCTGGGAGAGTGCGGACTTTATTACAGTAATGTAATTAGCAGTTTAATAATAAGATAAATGACTTGACATTAATCTATTTAGAAGAAAGAAGACTAAATAGTTTAGTGATTTAAAATATTTGATTCTTTCTTTGACTTTTCTTTTTTGATTCAGATTATCATGTCATTAACGATGGGGAAAGAAGGATAAAGTTGAGAAAAAAATGTACGGATAATCATCAACCTATTTCTCATCCGTCCACACTATTCAACTGATCGAAAAAGGATGAAAGAAACATTTAAATTTGTCGTTGGAAAATTCGGATATTTTGCACATTTTTTAAAATTGTATTCCTTCGATGTCAATCAAAAATTAATAATTTATTGATTTATTTTTAACAATTGTTTAAGATTTCATTGACATAAATGTTCGCAGCTTGCTATTCTCGATATAATTCAGAAATAAATTAAATTAAACATTTCATCATGTTCCCTGAACACACTTATCGTATGAAGTAAAGGATTCTAATTGCGTGTTACAAATTATTTTGCTTTCCATTTTTAGTTAAAATATAAACTTGACAAGTGCAAATTAAAAATCGAATTTTCTGAAAGAACACATTCACTTTGTTTTGATAATTCTAAGAGAAAATTATTAAGGATGTCTCACAAATTGTCCAGGTAATTTTAATTAAACTTTTAATAAAGAATTAGAATCATCAAAATTTCAGAGGCAAAACATCTGTGTTTTTACATTTATTTAAAATTTTTAATTGGCAATAACGAAAATATGAGGCTAATGGAAAGAAATAATTTGAAATTTGATGTCGTAAACTTTTATCGGCAGCATTTGTCAAGCTGCTAGAAGAAATATTGCATGAAACGATTTTGAAAATTGTCTAGGACAATCAATCTTCAGCAATTTATAAATATATTTTTTATGAAGTTAATATTTCGGAGAAAATTTGCAAAATTATGATATAGTAGTCATGATTTCACTAATTTTATAACAATAATTTTTACGAAATAATAATATGTTTAAATTCTCGAATACAGTTATCATAATAATCTATTCACTTTGACACTGAACGGATAAATAAGAAATACACTGAACGGATGAATAAGAAATCAAGTCTGTGTTTTCCTAATTTTCAAATATCACCCATAAAATAGAATTATAAAATTTGACACACTGCAATTTTTTTTATCGGACGACATAAAATGAAAAACCAAATAAAAATAATATAATTTTGAATAATTAAGATTCCATAGAAAAATTGGTGGGTGTTCCTTTTCAGGATTTCATGAGACTTCTATAAGTAATTAAACACCACTTTAGCTAGTAATATAGTAATTATATCCTTCGATCACAGAATCACAAATTGCAACAGTGTTTACGATATAGTAAGCAAAACCAAATAGCATAAATAATAATCGGAAGACATAAAAATGACATTAAAATTATATTCAAATGATGCTGAAGATGCATTGATGTTTGGAAAAGCAAATATAAATCGAGACAACTTTATTTTTAAAATATTTCAAGACAAAAGTTTGTTTAAAATAAGTGGTAGTTTAGATCTTAAAGAAATAATGAAAATGAAATGGATTATCATAAATAAATAAATAAATGACATACTATGACTATTAAATATATTATATATTTAATTTTATACCTAAACAAATGACGGCTAATATTTATGTGATCAACTTGGAACTGAATAAAAGGAAGAATAAATCGTAATGATAAAAATAATTTCAACAAATTCCAATAAACTTTGCAAACAGTGATAGTTAAAAATGAATTAT